CCTATGTTTTCCATGGACCGACCCGGACCAATGACGTGGAAGAATTGTCCAAATATGACCTAGTGATCACCACGTACAGCATCGTCCTCAGCGAGCTGTCTGGACGAGGAGCAAAGCGTGGCGTCAGCCCTCTTACCAAGATGAACATGTTCCGCATTGTGTTGGATGAAGCGCACACAATCCGCGAACAGAGTGCAGCGCAGACTCAGGCCATCTTTAAGCTCAATTCCCAGCGGCGATGGTCCGTGACCGGAACGCCCATCCAGAATCGCCTCGAAGATCTCCTCTCGGTCACCAAGTTCCTGGGGCTCTTTCCTTATGACGACCGAGGGCGGTTCGGAATACACATCCTCAGTCGGTTCAAAACGGGCGATGCATCAGTGCTGGCCAGCTTGCGGGTGCTGGTAGATTCGTTCACGCTCCGCCGGGTAAAGGACAAGATTGATCTTCCGGCACGGCACGATAAGATCATCGTGCTCAACTTTACGGAGAAGGAACAACAGCTGCACGAGTTCTTCCGCAAGGAGTCCAACGTCATGATGCGGGTGATTGCCGGTGAAGAGCAGTCCAAGATGAAAGGGCGCATGTACCACCACATCCTCAAGGCGATGATGATCCTCCGACAGATCAGCGCGCACGGCAAGGAACTGCTCGAGCCAGACGACCGCAAGCGCATCAAGGGCATGAGCGTGCACGACGCAATCGATCTCGAAGAAGGCGCAGGCGACGCTGCCGGAGCCACCGACAAAAAGGCTTACGAAATGTTTACACTCATGCAGGAGACTTCCGCAGACACATGCGCTGTATGCGGGAAGCGCCTGGAGGAGCCAAGCTCCGATAATGGCACGACCGACAGGCAAACAGCCATGGCGATTCTGCTGCCGTGCTTCGATGTCCTGTGTCCAGACTGTTTTTCGGGGTGGAAACCCGCTTTCAACCGTCCGGTGGGCTCGGCGCACGATATCAAATGCCAGGTGTGTGATGGCTGGATGCCAGCCTCGTATTCCACGATCACGGTAGGTGGACTGCAGGACTACCTGGTGGATCAGGCGCAAGCCAAACAGAGCCGACGACACGGCAAGACGCTAGGGGAGTACGAGGGACCACACACGAAGACCAAGGCGCTGGTGGCGCAGCTCCTGGAAACAGCCGAGGAGAGTAAGAGCCAGGGGCCCGGGGAGCGGCCGATCAAAAGCGTGGTGTTCTCGGCGTGGACGTCGCACCTGGACTTAATTGAGATTGCGCTGCGCGACAACGACATCAACGGGTTCGCACGGCTCGATGGGACGATGAGTCTGGCAGCGCGAAGCAAGGCGCTGGAGGAGTTTCACAGCAACCCGGACATCACAGTGCTCCTGGCGACGATTGGGGCCGGCGGCGTGGGTCTGAACTTGACAGCGGCGTCCAAGGTGTATATAATGGAGCCGCAGTACAATCCGGCGGCAGTGGCGCAGGCCGTGGACCGCGTACATCGCATCGGGCAGACGCGCGAAGTGACGACAGTACAGTTCTTGATGAAGGGCAGTATTGAGGAGAAGATCTTCGAGCTAGCGAAGAAGAAGCAGCAGCTGGCAGATCTGAGTCTGAACAGGGGAAAGCTGGACAAGAAGGAGGTGCAAGAGCATCGCATGCGCGAATACCGGAGTTTATTCAAGTGATGGGGATATACCGATGATTCCTTTATTTCCTAGTGAAGCACCATATTCACTAGAAGGAGATGCTGCGCTCATACTGATAATACTGGTTTGATACCCGAGAGGCGTTTGGTTGATTTATTGCATTCCTGGATTTTTCACCCTCATTTCATGCATCTGGATTTTGTTTTCCACCCATTCATTTGATCTCATTGATCTATCTCCTTTCTGCTGTGATTAATTCCGTGATACACGATAGAGGAGAACGGAGGAAAGGAAAGGAAAGGAAGAAAGAAAGACAAAGAAAGCTAAGCTAAGCTAAGCTAAGCTAATTAGAAGACGCAAGTCAACTCCATACTCCATATATCCAGCCAACAAAACAAGACATCAGTTACTTAGTAGTATCATATATCATATAAATCTAACCCCTAGAATAAATCCCCCTCTCCACCACCCCCAAAACCCCCTCCAACCTCCTCCTCAACGCCCCCAACTCCCTCCTCCTCTCCTCCCTCACCCCCTCCACAACTCTCAGCTCCCCCTCCAGTTCCCGAATCCTTCTCTCCTGCTCCGCCTCACTACTATCTATCCCGGGCAACACACTAATCAAATACTCGATCTGCTGCTCCTTAATCACCAAATCCCGCGCCAACTCCCTCTGTCGCGCAGCAAACGTAGCGGGGCTATCCGGCGCAGGTAACCCTTCTGCTGTCCCATCTGCGTTCTGTTGCTGTTGGTTGTCTGCATTCTGTCCCTGACCCGGGGGATTGGTGCTGTCGGGTGGTGGCGGCGATGCTTGCGATTGGGATTGTGCTGCTTGGGGCGCGGACGCGGGCACCGGGGGTGTTGATGCGTTCTTGGGGATTTTTGCGAGGAGGGGTGCGGCGCTCGGCGTTGTGGATGTGGGCGGTGGCGTCGCGGGGATGTTGTCGTGGTAGGTTGTGAGGTAGCAGAGGGTTGCGTAGAATTGGGTTGCGAGCTGTGTTGGGTTGTTAGTTGGGTGGGTGTGGGTTGAGGGGATGGATGGGGTGGGTGTACCTGGTCCAGGCAGGTTTGGAGTTGCGTGAGGATGTCTGCCATTGTGTTTTTTCTCTCGTCTATTTCTTGTTTGTTTGTTTGTGGGTGTAGTGTAGTGGAGAGTAGAGAGTAGTGTAGTGTAGTTGTAAGGATTGTAGAACTAGTGACGATGGGTGATGGTGGAGTGGAGAGTGAAGAAGTGAAATGAGAGAGAGAGCTTAAGCTAATCTCCGCTCCCCGATAAGTTTGAATTCCGCCCCGATAAACCCCAAAATTTAAAGTATTTCTCCAACTTCTACTCTTCTCCTCTCCAGGTACGTCTATCCCCATCTACTCCACCGTATAATTCGATAAATACTAAACACTCAACTAACCACAGTATACACACACTTCCAATGCATATCTACAGCCTTTAATCATAAGAATAATGACAACACTCTCCCCCCTAACCCGCCGTCTCTACAAACTCCCCCACCCTCCAATCCCCCCATCCTCATCATCCCACACCACATTCCCCTCCTTCCTCGCCCACGCCTCACGCACCTCCCTCCCTCCCACAAGCACAACCTACATCGGCACCCACTACGAATACACCATCCAATCCACCCTCCGCTCCTCCGCGCTCCTCCTCCACCGCACCGGCGGCCGCTCCGACGCCGGCACAGACCTCGTCGGAACCTGGCACCTCCCCGCACACGAACACCCGCCGCGCGTGCTCGTGCAATGCAAAGCGCTCAAGACGAAGCTCGGGCCTAACATCGTTCGTGAACTCGAGGGCACGTTCGCATCGGCGCCGGTGGGGTGGCGCGGGACAGGCGTCATCGGGATGCTGGTTAGTCCGAGGGAGGCGACGAGGGGCGTGCGGGAGGCGCTGACTAGGAGTCGGTTTCCATTAGTCTGGTGTCTTGTTGGGTTGGAGGGGAGGGTGAGGCAGGTACTTTGGAATGAGAAGGTCGAGGGGGTTGTCGGGGATGGGTTGGGGGTCGGGGTTGTTTATCGTGCTGATGCTGGTGAGCAGGATGCGGAGGCGAGGGTGACGTGGGATGGGGAGGATGTTCCGGAGGTGGATGCGGTGGTGGAAAGGATGGAGGTTATGCAGAGGAGGTGGTTTGAGTTGTGGGGTGTTGGGGAGGAGAGGTGGGAGGAGGTGCTGGGGGTCGTGGAACGGTTGTTTCCGTTTGAGAAGCCGTTGTTGTATGCTAGGGATGGGAGGGTGAGTGGGTTGAGTGAGGAGGATAGGGAGGTTGTGAGAGGGGAGTTGAGGAGGTGTCAGTCTACTACATGAGTATAGAGCATAGTTTAATGTATAGAATGTAATAGTAGTCATAGTATTGTAATATCAAGCCAGGGTATATCCGTAAACGCCGTCCAAACTTTCCATCCTCACCCAACGCATCTATCCCTGCATCGTCGACCAGAAGTAGTTCGAATAGAAGAACCGCGAGAACTTTGGGTCAATGTTCACCACATGCACATCGCCCTTGCGACTATTGCGGATCACCGCTTTGGTGAAATTGCCCGCGTCGTCGGCCTCGATGTCTACTCCTAGGGACCGGTAGATTTTTAATCGCAGCCTAGAAAACAGTCAGTCAGTCACAGTATACTCTGTATGAGACAGGTGGGAGGTACTCACAGCGTCGCATCATCCATCTCACGCTCCCGGCGCGTCGGTTCATCGCCTTCCAACCCCTGCGCTTCCAAATCGGCTAGTCGCTCCTTCAACATCTCCAGCTCGCCCTCTAGCCGCTCACTCTCAATCTCCAGCTCGGTAGCTGACTTGGCAATACGGAATTTCTTCGTGTCCAGCTCGACCATCTCCGCGGCGTGCTTGCCGGAGTCATGCGCCGTCACGGCCTCCTCATGTTGGGCCGTCAGGGCGGACAGGTGCCGGGAGAGCTTGCGCAAAGCTGATTCGGCTTCGCGCGTGCGCAACTCACGCGATTGCTGTAGCGCGGCGAGCGAGTCATTGATGCGGGTGACGGCTTGTTTATCAGGGTGGATGTTGAAGTTGCCGATGGTGTGGTTGATGAGCTGGAGAGTCAGCAATAAGCATAATTAAGGGGTGAGGGTGACATACGCCAGCGGGATTCTCGTCGAGGAGCATGATGACAGTATATTCAGGGCTATATACGTTGTAATGTTCGATATCAACCTTGTAGTTCTGATAGCAATGGCAGCAAATACACTCCGGAAGTGGAGAGATGTTTGTTGTTGGAGCAACCGCCACCGCCGCACGCACCGCCACAGCGCGTGACGCCAGGCAGCCCCGGCCATGATTCCGAATCTTCTCTTGTCGCTGCCGGCCAAAAGTCTTCGTCTTCCCACCAGATACATCGATATTTCTTCAGAATGGGCTCTAATCTTCCTTGTGAGTATATTTCTCCCCGTTGGTGCTGGTTCCTCCCCCTCCGCTAACTGCCTGCTTGCAGATGCCGCCGATGCTGAGAGGTCAGCGCTTTCCCCCAATCGATTACTCTACCAATACCCCAGAACCAGCGAAGCTAACCGGTGCACAGTCCGCTAAAGCCAGCGGAACTTCAGGTGCTCCGCGCCCAGTATGAGAAGGAAGGTGACTACGTGGGGATCCAGACCAAGTTCAACTACGCCTGGGTAGGAACCGGCAGATAACCCGATGCAAGTCCATTCGGCTGACGACATGTATAGGGTCTGATCAAATCCAACGCCCGGGTCGAACAACAAGAGGGTGTTCGTCTGCTTTCGGAGATCTTCCGCGCTGCGCCTGAACGACGTCGCGAATGTCTGTACTACCTCGCGCTGGGTAACTACAAGCTCGGTAACTACGGCGAAGCTCGTCGGTACAACGATCTACTGCGTGATAAGGAACCCGGGAACCTGCAGGCCGCTAGTCTGGGCCAGCTCATCGATGAAAAAGTGTCCAAGGAGGGCCTGATGGGTATTGCCATCGTGGGTGGGCTGGCGCTGGCGGCCGGCGTAGTGGGTGGATTGGTGATGCGGGGGGCAAAGAGACGCTGAGGGATGGCAGCGACTGTGAATTGATTGTTCTGGGTGCATGAGTGTAAATAAGGCTGTTCGGGTGTTTTTATTCTTGCATTGGGGCGTTCTGACAGCAAGATTGGATGCGTGATTAATGTTAATGGATGCTATCACTACTACTACTACTGCTACTACTACTTTATCTTCAGCTGCGCCACAGGTGGCTAACGTCATCCCGAGTCGCTTCTTCTTTCCTGCTTTTCTCTTTCTTTCCTCCATCTTCTCTCCATTCTTTCTCTTGCTGTCATCTGATGTCGGTATTATTCTGTTATCTAACATATCTACCCGTCGGATGATTCCCATGCTCTAAATCTTTGTCCCCGTCACGCCCGTGGCCCTTGTGGATGAACGAATGCGTGCCCAACGAGCCATGAATGACGCTGCATTGCGCTGCTGCTGCTGCTCTCGAACTATCAACCACCATCACCGCAACATCCCTTCTGCCTGATTGATTCGTCAGATCTTGTCTCCTGCACCACCATCTGACTAGTGTCTACGGTGACAACCTTCCACCCCACCTTTCTAACGTCCCCCTCTCATCCACGCCTCGTTTCGCCGTTGGATTCCGGATCGCCATGGCCGACGTGGGGGACCGCATGTTCTGCCATGCTTGTGGCGGCGTCTGGCTGCGCGAAGCTCAGGGCATGATCTGTCCGCACTGCGAGTCAGACTTTACTGAAATTGTACGATCTCTTCCGCTATTACTTCCATGCAACCCTATCTGACCATCCCAGATCGAAATCCCGCCAGATCCCGACGCCGAGCCCCCGCCCTCATTCCACCGACCCCCCTCGCCCCCCGCCGCGGCCAACGCCCGCTCCCCGAATCCATGGGCAGACCACAACCCCTGGGCACACCAGGAGGAAGATGATGATCTCGATCAAGGCTGGGGTCCCGGACATGGGAATGGATTCACCCATCGCACATATCGGTCTCCGGACGGCCGTTTCACCTTCTCCACCACAACCTATACCCATGGCCTCCGAGGGGGGTCACCTCCGACCCAACAGCGACAGGCAAACCCCGACCCATTAATGCCAATGGTGCAGGGTCTAGATAGCATCTTCCATGGTCTCGCAAGCACCTACCGACAGCAAAATCGCCCAGGCGGCCAAGCTCAAGCTTCAGGCACAAATCGCGACCGCGGGAGGACACTGGGATCTTTTGCCTTTGACATCGAGGCGGAGGGCCGGACCGGCACGCAGGACGGCGGTCTGCACCCGCGAGATGCGGATGGTCCGCAACCGGTGAATAATCCTCTGCGGACTCTGGGCGAGTAGGTGCTGCCGATGACGTTGCTGCACATTGCAGGGCTAATGATTCTCAGTATCTTGGAGCTGTTCCGCTCGGATTTCGGCACAAACACACAGGCAGGTGGTACTGGCGGCGTCCGGGTGATGACAGGGCCGAATCCCCTCGCCATGCTGTCCACGCTACTAAACTTTGATCGTCATGGGGACGCAGTATACTCACAGGAGGAGCTGGACCGCGTGATCTCTCAGCTGATGGAACAGAACGCCAACCGCGGAGCGCCACCACCAGCCCCGCCCAGTGCGATCCAATCGCTGCCGAAGAAGAAGGTTGATGAGGAGATGCTGGGGAGCGAAGGTCGAGCAGAATGTTCGATTTGCATGGACACGGTGGAGCTAGGGACTGAGGTCACGGTGCTACCTTGCAGCCACTGGTTTCACTACAGCTGCATCGAGCTGTGGCTGAACCAGCACAACACATGTCCGCACTGTCGACGAAGCATTGATGCGCCCCAGTAAGATCCCTACCCTATGTTGCTTCATCACGCAAACCCTCTCTAACAGCCTGCAGAACCGAAGGCGCCAACAGTCCTCCCGGAAACAGACCGGCAGCAGAGGGCACAAGCGGCAACCCAGTAGTTATCCCCGACAGTCCGGAGCGCGAACGGACCCAACCATCAGCAGCGCGAGACGCTGCATCACCATCGGGTTGGAGCTCGCAGTCATTCTCCTCATGGTCATCCCCATGGTCGGGCTCAGAGGGCCCAGAACAACAACAGCAACGTCGGAGTAGTCGAGGAGAGGGGTCAGGAGGGTTTACGGGGTGGGTACGCAGTCGATTAGGCGGAGGGAGTGGCTGATGGACGAGATGGGAGCGAAGCATACAAATTACATTTGGGAGATTGACGATTGATGAGGTGTATGTAGTAATGCCTTGACTTGACTTCGCGGAGTTTGCCTGCTTTTTTTTTTGACATGACATGACATGACACGACACGATGAAGATAACTATGCACACACGCATGCACACACAGACAGACAGCATTGATACCTTATCTATACTATCTATCCATCTATGGCTTTGTTTACACTCGGTTTCAAATACCGTGCCTTGGTAAATAACTTGATACATCGTAACGAATAATCTACCCTGAAAGCCAAATTACCATACTTGAATTGAAGAAGAACCCCAATGGCATTCGATACTGGTATATGTACTAAACTCTCTCTCTAGAACAAGCCAAAAAGGATAAACCGAAAATGATCAAAACCGAAAAACCCCAACTCGGGTCACGAGTAGAAGGGGGTAGTAGTTCATAGATAAGGATCAAAAATGATCAAACTTGAGACCGAAAAGACTTTTTCCTCGTTCCTTCTTTTCCTTTTGTTTTGGCTTGTCACTTTCTTGGGTGCAGGATTCCTTCATCGCTCTGATATCGTTAGGGGGGAAATGCAACGGAGTTGTAGAGAGTCTAAACGGAAAAATCTACAGGAAATTAAATGAAAAAGGAGGAAAGTAGAAGGTGGTAGTAGATGTCAAGAGGTATGATGGAGGACGAAGGATGAGGAGGAAGGAAGGGTGGTGATTTAGAAGCGCAGGTCCCAGCCGATCTTAGGACCCAGACGAGGCAGCTCATCAGCCACGCTCTGGACATCCTTGTCACCTCTTCCACTGAGGTTGAGGACGATGTCGCCCGTCTTCATGGACTTAGCGAGCTCCATGGCGCCGAAGACGGCGTGGGAGGACTCCAGAGCGGGGATGATACCCTCGGTTTGAGCGAGGGCACGGAAGCCAGTGAGGGCTTCGGCGTCGGTGGCGGCAATGAATTTGGCGCGGTCGCTGTCCTTCCAGTTGGAGAGCTCGGGGCCGACACCGGGGTAGTCAAGACCGGCGGAGATGGAGTGGGTTTCGGAGATCTGACCGTGCTTGTCCTGGAGGACGTAGGTGCGGACACCGTGGAAGACACCCTTGCTGCCGCCGGAGAGGGTGGCGGAGTGGCGGTCGGTGTCGACACCGTCACCACCGGCTTCGACACCCAGGAGCTTGACGCTAGGGTCGTTCGAGAAGGGGTAGAACATACCCACGGCGTTACTGCCACCACCAACGCAGGCGACGACAGCATCGGGCAGCTTGCCGATGAGAGCCTTCATCTGTTCCTTGGTTTCATCACCGATGACAGACTGGAAGGTACGCACGATGGTCGGGAAGGGGTGAGGGCCGATGGCGGAACCGATGATGTAGTGGGTGGTGTCGAGGTGGACAACCCAGGCGCGGAGAGCCTCGTTGACAGCATCACGAAGAGTGCGGCTGCCGGCGTCGACGGCAACGACGGAAGCACCCAGAAGTCTCATACGGAAGACGTTGAGGGCCTGACGACGGACATCCTCGGCACCCATGTACACGACACACTCCATACCGAACTTGGCACAGACGGTGGCCGTGGCGACACCGTGCTGGCCAGCACCAGTCTCGGCAATAATTCTCTTCTTGCCCAGACGGCGGGCAAGCAGGATCTGACCGAGAGCATTGTTGATCTTGTGACTTCCGGTGTGGTTAAGATCCTCACGCTTCAACCAGATGTTGGCACCACCGACATGCTCCGTCAAGCGGTCAGCGAGATGGAGGCTGCTGGGGCGGCCCATGTAGGGGTAGTAGGAGCGGTATTCCTCCCAGAACTTAGGGTCGTTGCGCGCCTGATCGAAACCACGCTCGAGTTCGGCCAAGCAGTCCATGAGGGACTCGGGCACGTACTGGCCACCGAACTCACCGAAACGGGAGGGAATGAGAGCAGGGTCACCAGAGCCGTTCAGAGCTTCAATCTGGTCGACCAGGCCCGGACCAGCCGGGGTGTCGTCGTTGGTAATGACATCGGTGGGCTGAGAGAGGGCAGGGGGGGCCTCCTTCAGGACGGGGTCAAGCACGTTGACGGAGCCAGTCACCTTGCCCTGAGCATCTCTCTCAAGGCGACGACCGGTCACGCTGGAGAGGTAGTCCTGGGCATGCTTAGCCGCCTGACCGGCAGGGGCGTCACCCAAGACGGTGATGATCTGGCTACCAATAACGACACCCTCGGAAATGTTCTGCACGGACAGGAAGTGCTCGCGGGTGCTAACACCGAATCCCAGCGCCGTAGGCACGTTTCCGGACCAGGTGTGAACGCGAGACAAGAGATCGGGCAAGTTCGAGCTGAGCTTTCCGGTAGCACCGGTGACACCCATTCTGGAAACGACGTAGATAAAGGAATCGGCGATCTTGCAGAGAAGCTTCATGCGTGACTCGGAGGTGGCGGGGGCGATGAGGGGGACGTAAGAGAGACTGCAGAAAATGTTAGATCAGCTACCCAAATTTGCGCACACGATGCAGTCGAAACATACCCGGCGCTGGCGCAAAGATCTCTGAAGCGAACAGCCTCCTCCGGGGGCAGATCAACCATGATGAAACCATTGACACCGGCGTCCTTGCAGTGTTGGAGCATGAGCTCCTCACCATACTGCATCAGAGGGTTGTAGTAGCCCATCAGAAGAACGGGTGCTCTCAGACCGCGGCTTCTGGCGGTTCGGACCTGGTCCAGGACAAGGGGGATTGTCACACCATTGGCCAAAGCCTGGGTGTTGGCCTTCTGGATAGTAGGTCCATCTGCGATAGGGTCGGTGAAAGGGACACCCATTTCGATAATGTCTGTTGCAGATCACCGAAATCGATTAGTTCCCCTCCATATTTGAAATGTTGCAAAAGGCGGGGTCGAGAACATACCAGCACCACCATTTTCCAAGCCCATCAGAACATCTACGGTCTCCTCAACAGTGGGATATCCTGCAGTGAAGTAGGCGACCAGAGCGGCGCGCTTCTCCTGCTTGGCTCTGGCAAATGCATTCTTGATTCCGTCCATGGTGGCGGGAGGTGGGGGTGACACCCGGCGAGTGGTGGTGAAAGAGTAAGGAACGGGGGAAGGAGTAGCGGAGGAGAAGGGAGATCGAAGCAAGGTAAGGGACGAGAAGAAAGAAAAAGAGACCAGAAACGGTCAATTGGATAAGGACGTGGAGGGAAAAGCTGGGGGAGGGAAGAGAGAGTCGAGAAGGAGGAGAAGCGGAAGAAAGTGGGTTTGAGTCACCGCGATTACTGAGTAATTACGGTGAGTGACGGCTGGCTGGTATTTTCCCCGCCCCGGTCAGGTGATGGTGGCGATAAGATAAAAATGAAAAATTACGAACAGGTACCGCTGGGTATGAAAATGTCGGATTTACGGAATTGCGTCTGATTTCTGGATTGGGGATCGATTATTAGATTACTTATGTAGTTGTGCACTCTGCCTCCTCCAAATGTCAAAGGGAAAGAAAAACAAGTCAGAAGAAGTAAGAAATAAACAGGATTATTCACAGACGCCGCAAGCTATGCATATATAGATTCGCCCCAACAAGACCGGTCACCAAAAACTGGTGGCAACAGGGTCCTGTGAATATACCAGGGACCATCTCCTCCAAGAGACGCACAATGACGGAGATAGGAGCAGAGGAACCCAGCAGCGGACGACAACAGTGATAACAACAACACAATAACACAAGGTGCACAAATCTGATCCCAAATCCCATTTCACACTTTTGATCCTTCGCCAATCCAGATGTCTGGTACATCAATCCCAAGTGTTATCCCAAACCTGCAACCTAGAAGGAACGACGGCAGCGCCATGCTATGCCAGATAGTTGTACAGCTTCGTAAAGGAGTGAAAGCCTCATGCCCACATGAAAATGCAACATTAACCCAAGAAAAAAAGGAAGAAGAAAACATGGTTTAAATGGTGAAGAACGGGAACAGTTCGTCTATAATGCATCAAAGCAGAAAAGGATATCGGGCATCAAGGCATGAAGAAGGGTAATAGTATAAGGAGAGACATAAGATCATTCACAGTGATCATAAAAAAAGAATAAGTGGCAAAGTCCAGGAGCCCCGGGACTGAACTATCCTGTGCGAGAAGATCCCACAGGGCTCAGCGCCCAAGTCTCATGGCAAAGGAGTGACGATAATCAAAGAGGTATCAATGAGGTATGCAAGAAACACAACGCAATAAAGCGGACAAGCCAAACGCCAGTTGATGCAGATTACCAAAGAGGAACCGAAACGCGGGTGATTCAAGACCCGTGGGCCTGGCCATGCACGGAATACGGCATGGGAGCAAGGTAGTTGTAGCACGCGCTGCTGCTGGGGTTTCCAGTGGCTGCGGCAGAGTTGAGAAGAGGATTCAGCTCCCAAGTTCTGCTGTTCACAGTGGCTGTGAGTCCAAGTTGGCTCTGCTGCTGACAGACAGAAGGGTACGAGTAGGGCGTAGCCAAGGCGGAAGAATAGGGCTGATTGACACTAGCCAGTCCGCCTCGCAGTTCCGAGCCGCCCGTCATAGAAGGGGGTGTATATGTCGAAGCAGCTAGGCTGGCTCCGTAGTTGGCTGGGGCAGCAGTATCTGACACGGACTGAGGCGACGCTGCATTCTGAGGCTCAGTACCAGAGTCAGAGGCAGCGCCGTTGCTGGTGTAGTTCGATCCAATCGGGGTGGCCAGGGTTCCAGAAATCGAAGAGTAACTAGCAGACTAGATCGCCAACGGTTAGCCTTGTTCGGGATGGCTATGAAATGAACGAGTCACTTACGTATTTACCGATTATCTTCTTGAGGGCATGGCTGAGGATCTTCCAGGGGAAGACCTTCACGTCCTTCTCGATATTCCTGGGCTTTGGTGCGGGAAACCCCATGATGACTTTGAAAAAGTCCTCACTGTCAGCCTTGGCCTTGGACACTGTAAGTGGTCGGAAGCCTTCCAAGTTTCTGCGGATGCGGTTCTTCTCTTCCACCGTGAACCGGACTCCCACCAAGGACTCGAGCAAGTAGATGGTGTCAACGCTGGTAACAAAGCATTCGTCCTTCCCATCCCAGTAGATGCAACTGATGCAGATACTATTAGGAGCACGGTCTTCAGGCGCCACAGGCTTGAAGTCTGCGTGGATTGTGCTGCCACTCTGCATCCGTGTAAATTGAACCAACCGACGCTTTGCCTCCCGCTCTTCTCTGGACCAGCTTTCCGTCATTGAATCGAGATCACCATTCAACTTCAACACTGCCTTCGTCGGGCACATGGCATAGGGATTGAACGACTGCGTTTGGCCATATGCGCCCGACTGTTGCAACGTCGACGTCCGAATGAGGGTGGGATTTCCGAACCTGCCTGGTGATGCTTGGCTTTGCTGACGCAGAGGATGGCCGATAGTGTAAGTAGTGCTTCGTGCATCGTTGCTGACCGCGAGGAACGACGGGCTGTATGATGGAGTGATAGGTGATGGCGCCCGGATAGACGCTTGAGACGTGTTAGATAGGCCAGGATACTGGGTCGAAGGAACTCGCGGCGATGCCGCCGTGTGGTGTGGGCTGACGAAGCTATTCATTGCCGGCAGAGACTGCAGATACGGTGAATAGGTCGCGGAGGATACGCTGGGCGATTCCTTTGCATGCATTGGTGGGCCGGTGACTCGCTTGGGTGCCCTGGAGAGGGGTTCGTCGGCGTATGAAGGCACCCTCCGCTTGCGAGACTCGTCGGAAGGCGACTGCATCGAAGCATGTTCATAGGTATAAACTCCCACTTGTAGCGTGACTGCATGGCAGTCATTATGGTCCATGGACACTTGCAAGGGAACTGCGAACGACGGAGAGCCCGTGGAGCTGAAAGGAGGTGTGTCGACGGAAAGTGCATATTGAAACGAAGCACCCTGGAAGCCGAGGAAGTGAGGAACACATTCGCACTTTTTCGAGCCGAAGACCAGGTAAAGAGTCGCATAGGACGATGAGTGGAGGTCATATGGCGATTGAATCTGGACGAAGACCCTGGTGCCTTCGGAGCCTCTCTGGGGGGAGTAGGAGACTACTTCCGGTATTTGGCGATTTTCGGCGGCCATCATTGGTGAACGACCCTCTTCGTAGGAACTCGCATACTCTCCGTTCGCCATGTAGGGCACACAGTCCGATATCTGGCTTGCGTGATCGGGCATGGGGGAAGGAACCAGCGTGGTGGCCGTCACATAAGGTGCCTGGCCATAGCCTTGGTACGGAATGCCATCATGCAGAGATCGAGCAGAGTCGTAGTCTAATCAGGTTGAGTTAGTGTCAGTGTCTCACAAAGTTCAAACGCGGTGGGTGTCCCCTAGGGAACCCTGGACCAGCCATGCCATGTCCACGAGGGGGGAAGAAGGAGGGGGGGTGGGAGGAGTGGATGTATCAGTGCTTACCGATCAACGCCGTGTGCGGGGGCTTCTGGAAAGTAGACATAGACAAAATGGGCTCAGACTTGGCCAGAAGGCCGTCTGAAAAAGCACCGAGAAACTGTGACTCTTCAGGATCCGAAAAATCCAACGACTCGTCTAGAATTAACGGTGTTTGTAACTCGGGATTGAACTGTAAAACGCCCCCGGGTCAGTTCAGTGTCCAGGGTGTGGGAGATGGTGGGTATGACTGCAGGAAAAACAAGGCTGGGGCACTCGGCAAGACAGTGAATGAATCAAATATTCTGATTCAGTCGAAAGGAAGAGAAAAATGGGAGTGAACCGGATAGCAATTGGGCAGCGAGCAGGAAAACCGGACTCACCAAAACACCGTGCGTCTTCGAGTAAGCCAGTTTGAAGGTGTTGCAGAAACTGCAACCAAGCACAACAGCTTTAAAAAAGCGAATGACAGCGAATTTATCCTGGAAAAACGATAGGATGCCGGAAAGTCTCTAGCGAGCTCTCCGAGACAAAACGAATGACGACACGAAGTGGCTGTCAGCCCGGACGAGGAAGATGGCACGAAAAGCTTCGAATCAGCGATCAGGATCCGACGCCTCAGGGTGAAACCACGAAAGGTTGGCTGCAGAATAGGAACCAGTGGTGAGCCACGCTGCCGATGAATGCTTTTGATAACCTATAGGAAACCTGCTTCCATCTGATGGCGCTGTTTTAACCTCACGCGGCGGGCAGGTTGAATGGCAAATGTCCGTGGCAGACTCTGGACGAAAGCGAGCGAGAACGAGCCGGTCGAACTGAAAAGAAGACCCTTTTCGCTTTTCTGGCGTTTGTGGAAGCGAAAGTGTCTCAAGATTTCCTCAGGATGAGGACTAAAAGTCAGGGCACGAACTACCCAACTAGTGAGTACGAACCCTCCCAAAAGGCGAGGAACCGGCTCGCTGCATAGACCAGCAAGACTTACCAGGTGAGATGAAAAGACAAGAGATGCGTCTCTGAGGTCTTTTAAAATCTAATATGCAAAAGAAGTCACGGTCCCTAAGCGACTAAACGAGATAGTCTACACCTTGACGGGGGCGGGTTAACAACAAACATCCGGAAGTTTAGTGACGGAAACCATACAAGGGGAGGTGACAAGCGCACGGAACCCATCGTGGACCCTAATTTTCCTTGGGATCTTGTGCGGCAAAGGCACGACCTTGGAGAAGCAAGGAGTACAGAGGGAAGGGGACACGAAGGAGAGTGATGCAAGGCACCAACAGAGTCTGTGGCAAAGGGTGAGGGGGGGTTGGCACCAACCTTAACAGACCAATGACTTCAGCACAGGGAGAGGCTTCGTCAGTAAACGCAGCCTATTTGAGATATTTCCCTGCTAGTTTGTAATAAGGTGGTGTCCTCAGCCGAGACAAAGATCCACGATGGTTTGAGTCCAGGTCCGACCTCGTGTGAAGGACTACAGAGACAAGGTTGGCAAGAAGGCTAGCTGACGATCCACACTCTTTTTTTCTCTTCGGAGGGTAAAATTGAGACAGATGAGCGAATTCGGACACTGCAATCAAAGGTGATTTCGCTGAAATGGGGAGGGCTGTTCGGCGTGACGAGAGACGGGGGGGTGGTTCGATGATCGTCCTTCCG